GCTCCCAGCTAGCTCCGGTTTGTTATTCAGGTTAAAGTGGGAAGAAGCAGCGGGTCTGTGGGGCAGCGGGACACACTGCAAAAACTAGGGCAACAAACTCTCACCGATGGCCCGACTTTGGTCGACGGCCGACTGTCGGCTTGGTGTGTCAGGGCCTTAAGTTGAGCATAAATGAGCCCTTAGTCCCCGCCCACACCTACGCAGATATTTTCCCTTCATTTTAAAAAAACATCTCACAATAAAATGCAAAAGTGACCCCAAACGCCTGCCAGCGTTCGCCGTCTACAGCAGTCTCCCCTCGTCTCGCCAAGGTAGTGAAGTTGTCAGGGTAATGTTTACTTTATCAAAACACCCGCTGCAGACCTCGTCACTGTTGACTCCCCCTTGATGACGATGTAACGACGAAGGTTTTTTTATACAATGAACAGGTGTCACCACATTTTAATATAAATCTACAGATATATAAATATGAATTGAACAGAGGCAGCGTGGTGAAGATTAATTTAGTTTGATTGTTGACTGCACGTCACCATCAGCGCAGTGAACGCACAATAAAGCTTTTTACTTCACCCCCCAAAAACTCTGTGAGGGGACGTGTCGCAGTAAAGTCAAGGTTGAACGTGAGAACATGAGTGTACTGAGAAAGGCCTCAGGACCCGCCCTCCCTCTTCTTCTTGTTCTGCTGCCTGTGAGGCTCTGCTCAGGGCAAAGAACCCCACCTTGTGCCTGTCAGGCTGAGCAGGACGGCGTGACGTTTTTGGATGGAGCTCTTAAAGCTGCAGACAGACAGCTACATTCAGCCAGGAGAGAAGACACACAGACAGACAGACAGACAGATAGATTAAAAGAAGGAAGAAGATGAATAAGAAGAGTTGGCGTGGGGTAAGGCATCTCTCCATCCGTCCGTCCATCTATCAGTCACTTCACTTCCTTGTTTTGTTTCTGTCCCTTTGTACATCAGAGTAAAGCTCTCCTCTGTCTCTCCTCTTGTCCTCTGTCTCTCCTCTTGTCCTCTGTCTCTCCTCGTGTCCTCTGTCTCTCCTCGTGTCCTCTGTCTCTCCTCGTGTCCTCTGTCTCTCCTCATGTCCTCTGTGTCCCCAGGGAGATGAAAGAAGGGATGAGATTAAGAAAAGCTTTAAGTGGTCAGTCCTCTCCTCTCCAGCTCCCTCGTCTGCTTCAGCTCTTTAATCCTGCAGACAAACGACAGGAAGAGTTTTACAAACACACACACACACACACATTAACAACATATGTGATCACGTTCCAACAATATCTCGGAGACAAGGGAACAAGATGTGTTCATGTTTTTAACCTGTGTCTGCAGCGTCGCAGGAACCTCATGATCTTCCTAGCTGCCTGGTCCTGTTTCTTCGTCAAGAACGACCCCCTGATGGACACAAATCCCATCAAATCAATCATTAGCATCTATTGGTGATGCACTGTGCTAACCATGCTAGCAGCTAGCGTTATCAATATCACTCATCTAAGTACGGTCACTTCTGGCTCCAAACATGCAGGATGGCAACAGCCGAAAAGCCCAGTTCAGGCTTCAGGACAGGAGTTCAGAAACTAATGGATGACGTCATGGTGGCTTCGTCCATTATTTTATATGGTTTGCATTTTGAACTCACACCAAACTGTAACTCTGTGAGCTCCTGGTCAGCGTTCTGCACAGGTGTGTTGATGAGGTCTTACTTGATTTTGGGGTTGTGGCTGGCGGCGCCTCTCGGAGCCTGTTTGAGCCGCTCATATTCCTTGTAGCTGCGGTAGTACTGCTGGATGAGGACCGCCGCCCGCCGGCTCTGCTGGAAGCGCTTCTGCTCGTAGTACGACCTGAACTTGGACTGGATCAAGATGGCAGCCTGGGTCATCTTCTTGTAGAGAGCGTACTGAGAGGGACAGAGACGTACAGTGAGTGTCCGTGTGCAGCCAGGGGACCAACACAACAGGAAGCTACATGTGCTGATGAAACTGAGGATGGAACAAGAGAAGGAGAGAACGCTGCGAGCTCTGAGGACTGATCTATCGTCTGATATCAGCTCGTACTGGCTCTCTGAATCACGTCTGTAACTCATCTGCTTAACGCTTACATTGATTTTTCTTCAGCTACAGTAAGATGACCTGTCCAAAAGTATGTGGATGTTCTTGTCCTGCCCTGTTCATCAGGAGGATTTTTTTGCCTTGTACACAGCCGTTTAGCGCTCCGATAACTTGAATGGGGGTGAAATTATTTAATCGTGCAGCTCTTCTTGACTTAAGAAATGTCATTGGGCCAAATGGATCAAATCTTGATAATGAAAAGTCAGTGGCAGGGGTTGTGACACTTTAAGCCATCGATTTTCTTCTACAATGTAAAGGTGCGGACACACCAAACCGACATCAAAGATCTAGTGGCGACGAAAGCCAACTGTCTACGTCGCCTCACGTCGCCCT